ATGGATGTTAGCTCAGGGCTGATCTTCCTCACACACACACTCACACAAAATAAATAAATAAATAAAATAAATAAATAAAAAAAAATAAAATGCTCGGGTTATCATATTATGTTGAAATTCACGTGTAAATATCTTAAGATTAATTTTATTTGTAATTATAAAACTATTCAGGCTTTTCCTAAGTCACATCAAATCCATTAATAATCAATTAATTTCTAAAACTAATTTTAAATAGCTAATACAGTAATCAACTAATTTGAAGATGATGTCTAAATTGCTTTCCTTCTTAAAGCTTACCTTCTCAAACAAATTGATAGCATATCAGTTATATCTCTGGTTTGAATCTCAGCTCTGCCACATATTAACTAGGTGAACTCAAGAAAGTTGTTTTACCTTCCTGAGTCACTTTCCTCATTGGTAATACTGGAGATAATAGCATAATAGTGCCTAATTTGCAAAATTTTGATGGTCAAGGCTATTCTCAAATAGCTGCATAGCAAATGTATGTTTGTTTCACTTCTTAAGGATGATTATTAAATAATAATATACATATTTTTTTTGTGAGGAAGATCAGCTCTGAGCTACATTCATGTCAATCCTCCTCTTTTTGCTGAGGAAGACTGGCCCTGAGCTAACATCTATTGCCAATCCTCCTCCTTTTTTTTCTCCCTTTTTCTCCCCAAAGCCCCAGTAGAGAGTTGTATGTCACAGTTGCACATCCTGCTAGTTGCTGTATGTGGGATGCTGCCTCAGCATGGCCCAACAAGCGATGGGGCGGTGCACGCCCGGATCTGAACCTGGACCACCAGTAGTGGAGCGCACACACTTAACCACTAAGCCACGGGGCCGGCCCCCAAATAATAATATTTTTAATATGCGACCCATAGTATTGGATTCTTAGACATGACCACCTACTTCAGAGTCCATCGCTTTCTCACAGTTCCCACCCATTTCCCATCCTCATGGGCACCTCCCTTGTATAATCTTAGTATTTCTATACATGTACTAAGATGTGGTATGACTAGATCAATTAAGCAACATTTATCCAAGTACTGGACTAAGTGTTTTACAAACATAATTTCATTTAATTTTCACGACATCTCTTTGAGGTGCATGCTGTTATAATCTACATTTATAGATGATGACACTGAGGCTTGGAAAGGGTAGCAATTATTAACTAGGTGAACTCGAGAATTATTTTACCTGCCTGAGTCTCTTTCCTCATTGATAGTACTGGGGATTACAGCATAATAGTGCCTAATTTGCAAAATTTTGATGGTCGAGGCAATCAATATGAATGACATATTGTAGAATACAGGATAATGTTAATAGCTTAAGAATTTAAGCTCTGTAGACATGGATTCAAATTTCATCTTTGCCTCTTTCTGACATCCCAGTGCTGGCAATTCTACTTCCTACTATCTCTCTCACATCCTGGTAGTGTTCTCCATCCCCACAGCCATCTTGCCGTTTAGACCACATTCATTTCTTATGAACTAGTGCGTTAGCTTTGTAAAGTATCTCCCTGTCTTAGGTTTGTTTTCTTTTTTTTTTTTTTATTTTTTTTTTT